CTGCTGCTGCTAATACTACTGCTGCTGCTACTTCTACTGCTACTGCTACTACTACTTCTACTTCTACTGCTACTGCTACTGCTACTACTGCTACCACTCCTACTCCTAGCCACCCCCACGCCAACTACGTGGCACCTAAACCCATCATCGTCATCATCATCAACATCGGTGGCAATTGGACTACAGCATCACCAAAGTACTGCAAATACCGAACAAAATGGATGTGCCTTTAACAAGTACGTCATCATGCCCGCCCCTCCCACCCCTCAACAGCGGCGGTTGGTATCGGACTACGACATCACGAAAGTACTGTACATACCGAGTAAAAGTGATGTGCACTTAGACAGTGTTTAGGAGAGGTGGTTGGTATGGGCCTGGCTACTACTACTACTACTACTACTACTACTACTACTACCACAATTACTACTACTACTACTACTACTACTACTACCACCACTACCACTACCTCGCACTCTACCCAAGATCTTGCTAACACAGAATAAAGCCTTTTGGATTCCTCTCTACACTCAGAAGGCTCTGCGCGGAAGCCTGCAGAGGAGGCTCGGTTCGTGGGCTTTCTGAATGATTCAAGGGATGATGTTGAATTGGCAAGTTTTGATTAGGACGGGCATGAGGTGAAGGGCTTTGATAAAGAATATGGTTTCGATGATGTTTCTACAGAGCGTCATTCAAGTCATATAAGTGAAGAGAAATGCGATCATGGTGGCCATGTTGGTAGTTACTATGTTATAGTGGCGGCCTTGAGTACATCTGGTGGTGACGATGATAATGACGAAATGTTGACAATTATCATGCTGATACTGGTGCCGACATTAGTGACGAAGAAGAAAGAGATTGCACGATGACACTTGCAAGTATTGTGAGGAAGCGGGCGAGGATAAAGTGTGAGCATAATGGCCAAGATGATGAGGACAGGACTACGACTTCGAGCATAGTGCCCATACGATGATGATGGTCATGGTGGCAATTATCATCATGGCGGTGCTGCTGTTGGTGGCAGCCGTCATGGTGCTGCTGCTATAGGCACTGCTGCAGGTGCACATGCTGGCGACCATCATGATGTCTGCTGATGGCGTGATGCTGCTTTCTCTTGGGGCTCAATACCGCGATGGTAGGATCGATAGAGCCTTGTGGGTGATGCTGAATAAGGCACGCAAACCGTGTTTGGCCATGATTAGCAGAGCCTCGTTCACCAACACGGAACTGCAAGCATAGGTAGATGTTGGCGTTGAGGCAAGCACCGATTGCAAAACCCTAGGAACTTCTCACTAGGTAAACATACCCTTTTAAGGGAACCCTCTTATAGAACCCTGGAGCCGATTATCTAACCTTATAGTTTATAGTTCCTTAAACTGGTAAACATAGTCAGACTATTGACTCCTGCTATCGATGGTTTACGGTTTATATCCCACTAGCTGCCGGATCAGCCCAAACGCAGCCAGTGACGCCGTTCGATAATAGCCACCAGCAGCACGAGCCGCCGGAGCACCATCATGATTCTTGTGCCAACCAACCTGCGCTCATCATTACAGGCATAGGCTATAGGGGGTTGCTCCACTAATACTAATGTACGCACTTACCACCTACTGTTTTTCGTTGGCAACAGTAGCAGCAGCAGCAGCAGTCGTGATGGTGGCGGTAGTAGTGGCACCAGTAGCCTGTTTCTTCGAAGAGCTCTAGAACAAGAACCCAATTGTAGCGGTAGCCAACTCCCTAAACCCTATATCCCAAACCTTGAACCCTTACTCGGACCCTCGCCTGCTTGTCCAGTTGTGAGTGCTGCAACCCTGAACCCTAAAAAAAAACCAAAACCCTACACCTACACCTCAGACCCTATCAGATCCGAGGAGGAGCCTGGCGAGCCAGCGGTGATCGCCATGCTTGAAAATCCAGCAGAGGATGCCCTGCCCGGAGTCCCGAGAATAGTGGCTCAGGGTTCAGGGCCAGTTTAAGATGTAGGGGGTCATCAGTTTGGGAGGGGGCGGCGGAAGATGGCGGAAGTGTTCGTTGGCTTACGGGCTGCTTCTGGGGATGTTGGCAACCGAGCTTCCAGCGCCGCAAATCTTGGCGGCATTGCCCTGATTGCTTGCGCCTCCAGATGAAGTTATGTCAAAGACATCGACGTCGGCGACGATGAAAAGTTGGTTAGGAGCCGCGAAAAGCGTGGGTATCTAGCCGGACTTCCAAACAGAGCTAGTTCAATTTATGAAGAATCCTTTCCCCGAGCCCACAAATTTCTGAGTTCAGGTGTATACTGGACCAAGAGTTTGAACGGACAGCTGCAATGCACGTTTCGCTCGGACTGCTCCGTCCATCAACATGGCTCTGACGTGGAAGTGAGTCGAAACTCACCCGCGAGACCTGCACCCCAAACTCCGAGGCTGCTTTAGAGTCGAAGCCCCTAGGCATCCCCAAAGCTCAGCCCCAAAGCTTCCAGTCCAACCGAAACCAGCCTCAAGGCCCCGCGCAGCGGTGGTGGATATCTTCGCACGACACGACCTCAAAGCTCCTTGGTTCGCGGTGATCTTCGAACGCCATGGCCAAGTATCGAATGGTACTAGCGACTTGCAACAACAACAACAACAACAACAAGGAAACCAAGGACTCACCGGAACACCCAAGCTAGCAAGAACGACCAGCAAGAGTATCTAACACAGATGGTGTTTGGATAGTTCTCGCATTTTCGAACTGCATCAATCACCAGGAAGAGGCCCAGGAACGAAGGGTGTTGTAGGCATGCATGGGGCTTGAGGCCTGGCTGTCCCTTTCTGTCGCTCTGCTTTCGTGTGTTGCTGGTTTCTCGTTTCTTATCCCTCTCAGGCATGCTATAAAATATATAATATTTGATACGTAATATAATATTCTGATAATATATATATATATATATATATACATAATGTAAATTAATGTGCTATAATGCATTTTAGCGCTCTCTTGAGCCTCGCTGGGAGGCTTGTCGATTTTGCCCTGCTCTTTCTACAGGTCGTGTGGGCCAATGAGGATCATGCCTGGCACGACTGCGAGAATGCCACGGTTCTTGTCACGGTGAAGAGGCCAGCTAACTGCTGATTTTATATATTTATTGTATACTCACTGTAAGTTCGAAATACACATTAGTCTTGTATTTGGTACATTACATCGTATACTGTATTATGTACTTTATTATTCGATATGATACATGAAAGGCTGACCGTTCTTCGTTGTGTTTCATCATCCCGAGCCCCGTGAAGAGGCACATAATGTGAGACGAAGTGCCAGAACAGGCCTGTTCACCCTTTGCAAGTCACTCTAAGGTTCCGGGTCCGAAGAGTTCAGCTGTCCTTTTTCGGGTTGAGTCTTCCGCAGCCAACATTTGCCAGCGTTTTGTGTTGGCACCAGACACTCACGGGGTACTGCAGACTTTCAAACTACGACTATGTGTGGTATCCATGTTGTTGTGGCTGCCAGTCGTGTTGTTGATGTTCATTGACGGTGACACTTGTTGTTGCTGTTATTTCTGCTACTACTGCTGCTGTTGCCGCTGGTACGACGACGACGACGACTACTACCACTATTATCATTGTTGTTATATGTGTTTCGAAGTAGAAGTACTTATTTCCGTACGGGTGCCATTGACGTGAGGCGTGTGGACGAGTCGATGCTCGCAACTTTGCCGAAGCTCCGACTGGTGGCCGTAGCTTTCACAGGCCTCAAAGCTCTTTGGGATTTAGGGCACATGGGGGGTTCAAGACTGCTCCAGAATTTCGGGATTCAGGGTTGCACTAGGATCAAGATCCTTCGGCAATTCGGTGGCAGGTGCGTGAGCAGTTGCCACTTGCCCCAGGTGTCAAATTTCCGGCCGCAGAAATCTGTTGCCAGATGCCCATCCCTAACCCTCCAGGTACCTACTATATAGGGCCCTAGGGGCTCTAGTACCCTATATAGGTACCTGGGGGGCTAGGGCATGGTCTCCGTGGCAGGCTATGACCATGTGGATCTGGAGGCGTGCAGGCAGCGGGGTGCGTGGAGCTCGGCCATCTCGTTCCAGAGCTTTCGGGCAGAAGTGGACTTCACAGCGTAGGCCCATGTTTGAATAAATCCGACCAGTCGCTGTATCGGCAGCAAGCTGCAACTCCGATCGACACATGATTATGTTGTCAAGGTGAATGTGGCCAACGTACCAGGCTACTCCACAGATGGCGCAGCTTGGCTTCAAGTCAGAGCTAAAGCCAAAGACCCCGTATTGAGCCTGCCATGTTTTGGAATGGCTTTGGATAGTCTGGTACAGTATACGACGCACGAAGAACTTTCCGGTTGATGTTTCAGGCATATGCAGTCGTGTGTGTGTGTGTGCCCACCGTTGCACTGGATGGCTAGGCAGTATAGTGGCATCGAAGTGGAATCGCGGAAGCAACAGATGAGGAACCGACATTCCTGTAGATTGTTTTGGCGCTGCCTGTCATGGGAGATGGTGTAGACCAGTATTTATCGCGCTTCACGGGCTGTGGCTGACATCAGAGCGACTTTCATAGCTGCAGCTTGCTCCGGGCGCTCCCGATTCAGAAACCGTTGTCGTGATGATTACTACTATACAATTGTTGCTATCCTGATTATGAACAGAGCTCATGGTGTTGCCATCGTTGTTGTTCGTCTTACTTTTGCCATTGTGAGATGGACTGTTATGATAACAGTTCTGATCAGACTTATTTTGTTCTGCTTATCCTTGTTGCCAGTACAGTTGCCATCATCATCATCATCATCATCGATAGCATTACCATTCTCGCTCTCATTCAAAACTGTTGTTGAGCTGCCGGTGTCTCTTCCGCACTTCCCCCCAGGCTGCAGAGCTCTGCTTTGGCCTGATCTTTGCACTGCTGCGCCACATTCCAATGGCCCACCAGCACCGGGGACCGCATGAATGCCGAAGCTCAGTCATGTGGGGTTTGGGCTCAAGGGTTGGGGTTGCCGCTTTGTCCGAGGGGTTCAATGAGTCGCTGCAAAGAGTAGCTCAAAAGCACAATGACAAGGAAGGTCACAAGACTAAGTGGTCCAGTCTGGTAGCCAATAAATCCTTCGTCGCAGTTGTGGGACTTGTGATAATCACTGCCACCGCTACCATCACCGCGACTGTCAGTCACCACCATGAGGATCATCATCAGGACCCGTCACGTGCCTCATTGTTTAACACCATCGAAGCCAGAACCTGCGGCACCACCGCGACCAGCATGAGAAGGATGTCTGCCTTTCTTACGCAGCATCTCGATGTGCATCCTCAGCAGCAAGAGCAGATTAAGCATCATCCCTGGTTTCATTGTCATTCTCATCACCGAAGCAGCTGCGACCCGGGCAGTCTCCATGAGCTCTACCTGCTCGTGGTCATCCTGACTTTCGCTAGCAACAGCACCGGCAGCAGAAAATATCATTGTCGCCGCCGCAACTGCCACCCACAGCCACACCCACTGTGAGCTCCGAATGTGGTTGCAGTCATACCCTAAGCACTCAAAGCTCAGGCCCAGGTTTCGTTATTGCTTTCATCATGCCCAGCATCACCATCATGATCGGCATCGTCATTATCACCAGCCTCTACACCCTTTCATAGCGGTAGTGTTCAGGTTGTGGTTTTTCGATCGTGATGAGCTCGACACACTTGACCCAGGCATGTGCGCTCAGGGAAGTGGTCCTGGCCCCCGGGAAACGAGCTCAGCGGACGACGCCTGGGGTTCAGTCCTGAGACACGCATTTCAGGGTTTGGGCTGTGGGCTTGTTAAACGAACTCCTCCAGCCGGTGGGACAACTGCTAAGAAACAGACTTCATAGGTCATAGGCCGTATGGCAGTGTCTCCCAGAGCCCCAAAATACAACAACGCCGGCTTAGTTAAGCAGGGACAAAATTCCTGTCCCAGTAAGCCCGGAGTTTGGGCTCTGGTGTGGGTTGCAGTGGCTGCGGCGTGCGTCTTTTCAGGATGTAAGCAGGCGGGGTCTCGGCTTGTTGAGCCGGAACCCACCCTGCGACAGCATGCTGCCCGAAGAGCTTGATGCGTGACCTGAGTGCTCGTAGCTCTGTTGCACTATAGAAGCGTAGACTGAGGATTGTTGGTACAGGCGAGATTGGTCTGCGAGTGGCCGAGATCGGCAAGGCCACATGCAAGGATTCAGAACTGTTTTTGCGTGATCCAGAGAGCTCAAGTCCAGTGCAGCGAAGCTTACGAGGAAAGGGTGGCGCAGGCTGTTCTCAGCTTTCTTGTGTTTCTGTGTACGAACGGCAGCTGGGTAAAGCCGCTGCGCAGCAGGCTTTTCGTGTCTCCAACGTCATTGGCTATGCTAGGGCCTGAGCTCTGGGGCCCTTTGAGTAACTACCTATAGTCTCCATTGTAGTTCCCTTTTAACCAAATATATACTAAGGATCTTATAAGGTATCCCCAAAAGGAACTACAATGGAGACTATGGGTATGCAAGGCCAGGATCTCGAGGTGTCAGAGCTTGGGAGCTCAGGATCCCATCAGGAACGACAAGTTCTCCGCAATAGGCGTCTGCCGTGGGGTTTAGGGTTTAGGGGGGAGCTCTTGTCGTCGCGTGTGCGGACCGGGCGTAGAGAGTTGGGTGTGCGGATTCCGCGTCGGTTGACGTGCCCTGGGACGTATGAGGAGGATGCGCTCTGTAGTATAGAGGCAGCCTATCTGACCACGGCACGGCCTCAGTAGCTTCAGCTCCCGCTCACATGCTTACCCAATTTGTAATAAACAACAACTATAAAATAGCTTTAGCGGCCTTCGTTACACACAGGGCATTTGCCGAAGGCGGGGAATACGTTCAGTCCCTGGCGACGATCTTCCTCCACTCTGCCTTTGCCCCAAAGATCTGGCCAGACGACGAAGTTTACGGCTTGCAGGGAAAGTTTAGGATTCAGTGTTTTTGAGCCAGCTTCCATGGGGAGAAAGGGTGGTATCTCCGAGAGTCGGAAACCATGGCTCCGAGCTACTTGCGTGAGACTTCGTGGCACCCAGAGTTCTTTGTCTGCAACGGCACGGCTCTTGAATTAAAGGATCTGTAAAGCCCTGCTGAACTGAAATCAGCAGCTTCTGTAATCCTACAGACGCAGCTGCGATTGCACCCAAGTGGTTGGTATAGAGCTCTCGCTGCTTGAGCCTGGCACTTTACAAGTCAACCGCAGACGACCTCACCTAGCGGCCTAGCGTAGTCCCAGTTATTTTGACCTGGAGCTACGAGGATATCATCGTGATCGCCTGTGCGCTCACGGCGGCCTCCAAGGGGATGGTCAATCGAAGGTGGCTTTAATTTACACAGCCTCGCTCTGGAAGGGGGATAGAGAAGAGACCTGGAGTTTTCGGGCTTTCGGGTTGCGAACTGAGCGTTTTGAGGTTCAGAGTTGGGGCTTTGCTGCTCGCCATGGCCACTTTGACTTGTTTATGGAGGAGCCGACCAGGCTAATACCCGGCTGTCGAAGATGGGTGGGTCTGCACAGCTTTGGAGTGGCCCGGGGGGGGGGGGCCAACATAAAAAGAGATCGAGACAGAGATAGACGGACAGACAGACACAGACCGGTGCGGATGTTTTCAGGCAGCGACTGGTAGACCACTCCCGACAACGCCCTACACCTACTGAGCTGTTCACTGCTCGAGGATGCTGAAGCTGCTGCGCCCCGATTCCATCCTGATCAACTGTGCCAGAGGCGCCTTGCGAGTTTGTCTCTTGCCTTGCATGCCTCCAAGCTTGGAGCCTTTGCGGCCTTGGCAGTTTCTAAGTTTCGGCCTGGCTCGGGAGATTCGTTGTCCCAGTTCCTTGCATGTCGGTACGAGCGAGACACTTGTCCACACAACTCCCACCTCGGCGCCTTGACTTCAACCATTGTTTTGATATGGCAGCTCTAGGAATAGCGCGCCTTGCGGAGTAATTCGGAGCGCATGCTTGGCCAGCCTTGCGTTTCTGGTTCTCAAGGAAGTATATGACGAGGCTTATATATAAATATTAGCTGATGCATGTCTCTGTACGTTGATTCCGGTTCAGGGTTCAAAGCTCAGCCGCTCGAATTGTTTCGTGTGTCTGCACGTACAGGTGCCATCATTGACCAGAAGGCGCTGACAGAAATGCTGAAGGAGCAAGGGAATGCAGGGGGGGGGTGCTTCCCCAAGCATGGAGCCTTTCATCTTCGGTAGGTGGGCTGGGCTCACAGGAACTGTAAGTTTCAGCTAGATCCGAAGGCCTGAGTGTGGTCAAGTATGGTATCATCAAGTCATGCCGAGGACGTTCCAAGACCTTGCGGTTTCTCGGTCTGTTTGTGTGTCTGTTTGTTTGTCTGTTCACTTGTCTGTGAGCATTTTAACTTCGAATGTCACAGACCTCAGTAGAGGAGGTCTCATGACTTTGCATATCGCAGGAAGGCCGCTTCAGAGCTGGCCTCGACGTCTACGAGGCTGCGTGATACGGCTCAGAGAATCGGAAGGATGTGCTAGCTGCTAGCGTTGTTCAGCGGTAGTACGACTCCCTTTTTGCGTGATGGTGGCGGTGTTGCAGTCCAGATACTGGCTGTTCTGTTTTTCAGGTGTGTCGGCGAAGCACAGTCCTTCAGCCTTTCAGTTCATTAGCAAAGATGCTGCAGCTTCTGCATGCCTCGCAACAAACAAACTACAGCAGTGCTGGGTTTCGCGACTTGCGGTCGTTCCCTTCGAGGCCGATTCCCATAGCATCCTGATGTCTCCTATTTTGGGTTAAGGGTTTCAGGGTTATTTTGAAGAATCATCTGCTTGCGCATCTCCTTCCCAAAAGCCGATGCCACCAAAGAAGCTGAGCTTTATCTCAGGGCCTGGAGGGGGAAGAGCTACCGCCGAACCACCCTTTGCGTTCCGTGCCCGAGAGCGACCGCCCCAAGTCAGAGTTTCCCATCTCCGGGTCGTGTTCTCGAGTAACCTGGGGAGTTTCCTGAGAGATTTGAGAGACGTAGAAGCACGACTTTGGCCGGTAGTCTGAAATGCGGTATGGCAGGCACGAACTTATAACAGTGGTCCTGTGTACTGGCTCTGCGTCGACTCAGCAAAGGTTTTGGGCTTAGCGTTGTTTCTCCAATCCGGCTTATAGCTTGTGAAGTCCGGTGTGCAGGGCCGGTTGGAACTTCCACGGCACAGATCCGTACACATGGAGGTTGTGCATCGTACCATGATGGGTTCATGATCACGGGTCAGTACCGGGCGATGCCTGAATTGTCTTTGCGAGTCTTTGCCCATGTACTCTCACTACAGCAGCCAGTGTCAGCATCTAATTCGTGCGAGCTCCTCGAGACTCCAGTCGCAGAGCTACAAGAGGTGTGCTAGGTGGTTGGCAAAACAGCATCCGGTACAACACAGCAACATCAGCGCATAATACAGTTACAAGCAAAGAGAATGCTGTCAATGAAATCGTACTATGGCAATGCACCGAGAACAAAGGGGCAAACTACCAGGCCGCACCAGCTACCTTGTCCAGTCAAGAGGTGCGAGTGTTTTTTCTCAGACCGACAGACAAACTAAGTAGCCAAGATAAAGGTCACTTTTATGGTATCAGAGAAGTACTGCAGTCTCGCGTGACGCAGCTTCTTAACGCGCTCTCAAGACCTGGCATGTTACAGACTGGCCCTTGCAGAAACACCAAAACGTCTACCCAAGAGCCACTGCCAGAGGTCACGTTGTAACAACCCTCCATCCAATTCAACCCATTAATTAATACAGTGACGCTGTAGGAGAAGCAATGTCGATAAATAGAAGGGCTCGATATTACTTCAAAATTGCAGCTCGCATCCAGCCAGATGCCAGAGAGAACGCGTCGCAATGACCAGCATAGAAGACCCAGATCTTCTGACAAGCCCGATCTGTAAAGCCAACATAGCACAGCTAAGACTTTCGGGATTTC